GTGAACCCGGGCCACCGCAGCGAGCGCGCACACTTAACCGCTTGCACCACCGGGCCGGCCCCTCATTCCTAGTTCTTTTACCTAACCTCCATCCCAGCCTTTCTTTTTTTTTCCCTTCCTTCCTCCCTCTCCTACAACCTTCTCTCAACAAAAAGATTTCAGCTGACTTTATACAGAGCAAATGAGTCAAAGATAGACATGGAACTAGTCTCTTATATGACATAATGCTAGTAATATAATGCTCTTTCATCTTTGAATTTTCTTTCTTTCTTTTTTTTTTTGGTGAGGAAGATCAGCCCTGAGCTAACATCCGTGCCAATCCTCCTCTTTTTGCTGAGGAAGACTGGCCCTGGGCTAACATCTGTGCCCATCTTCCTCCACTTTATGTGGAACGCCGCCACAGCATGGCCTGGCAAGTGGTGCATCGGTGCACGCCCGGGATCTGAACCTGGGCCGCCAGCAGTGGAGCGCACGCACTTAACCACTACGCCATAGGGCCGGCCCCTCATCTTTAAATTTTCAATGAGATGTATTCTACTTCATTGATAGTTAGATATTAGTATCCATACTATTCAAAGCTACATCTACAGACCTACTGTAGATTTCTGCCTCTCACACTTTCCTACTATATTCATTTTTTTAATCACTGCTTATAAGATATCATTTGTTCTTAGTAGATCAAATTTTTTAATGGTGTTTCTTTTCTTTGTTCTTCACAATACACTCTAAATACTACACTGAGACAACTTCCCAATCCTATTGGGTGGAATGGGAATTCATGAAATTTAACTGTTTAAATTCAAACCATATATAAGATGAAAGATTCCAAAGAGAAGCATCCAATCAATAATAGATAAATAACTGGGGGCCAGCCCGGTGGCATAGTGATTAAGTCTGCACGCTCCGCTTTTGCGGCCGGGGTTCTCGGGTTTGGATCCCGGGTGTGGGCCTATGCACCTTCGTCAGGCCATGCTGTAGTGGCATCTCATATACAAAAATAGAGGAAGATTGGCACAGATGTTAGCTCAAGGCTAATCTTCCTCAGCAAAAAGAGGAGGATTGGCAATGGCTGTTACCCCAGATCCAGTCTTATACACACACAAAAAAGATAAATAACTTTTTTTATTGATAAATAAATAAATATATTTGTTTTAATTCATCCTTAGACTTAAGACTAAATTTTAATCCTCTTGTTGTCCTCTGTCTTGGTTTGGTATGCATATTTTCTCCATCTGTGAATAAAGCAGAATTAGAATCATTTTACCTTTCTGATTACAGGCTTTTGTGATTTCTGTAACATTTCAGACTGCTCAAGTACAAAATTAAACAACCCAGGTGGCTCTTAGAATAACTGTGCTTTGTAGCTTATAACTCCAACCGACAAATACAACAAAGTTGTATTTGAATTCAATATAAATTTAATCAAATGTTAATATAAATAAAATAAAATTTAATATATTTTCATTTAAGTTTTTATGGTTTCTTATTTCCCATGTGACTGTTTCTCCATATGTGTGTAGCATCTGATGACAAGATGTCAATTAAAATTTTGGAAAGCCAGTGTTCATTCCAAGAAGATCCATTTTCTTTGGAATTGGATTATCTTATGATGCTTTTAGCTTCAGAGCATAGTCAAAAGGCAAATTTAATATTCTCAACACTAATATATTTTTCTTTGATTCCTTGCCTATCTTAGATTATCATGTGTTTGAAAGTGTTTTAAGAATAAATCACTTTTAAATGCTGCCAAATTAAATCATTTTTAAATATTGCAGTTTGTAATTTCATTTCTTACTTTAGGTACAAGAAGGAATGCATCTTTTGATAACTGGTCCCAATGGTTGTGGGAAAAGTTCTCTCTTCAGAATTTTAAGTGGGCTCTGGCCTGTGTATGAAGGAGTCCTCTATAAACCACCTCCCCAACATATGTTCTATATTCCACAGAGGTAGGTAAAAAAACTTTTTTTCAGGTGTACATCATTATATTTCAAATTCTGTATAGATTACATCATGTTCACTACCCAAAGACTAATTACAATCCATCACCACACACATGTGCCTAATCATCCCTTTTGCCTCCTCCCTCCCCCCTTCCCCTCTGGTAACCACCAATCTAATCTCTGTCTCTATGTGATTGTTTGTTCTTGTTTTTACCTTCTACTTATGAGTGAGATCATACAGTATTTAACTTTCATCCTCTGACTTGTTTTGCTTAGCATAATACCCTCAATGTCCATCCATATTGTCACAAATGGCTGGATTTAATCGTTTTTTATAGCTGAGTAGTATTCCATTGTGTACATACACCACATCTTGTTTATCCATTCATCCCTTGATGGGCACCTAGGTTGCTTCCAAGTCTTGGCTATTGTGAATAATGCTGCAATGAACATAGGGTTGCATGTATCTTCACGCATTCGTGTTTTCGTGTCCTTTGGATAAATACCCAGCAGTGGAATAGCTGGATTGTATGGTAGTTCTATTCTTAATTTTTTGAGGAATCTCCAAACTGTTTTCCATAGTGGCTGCACTCCCACCGGCAGTGTATGAGAGTTCCCTTCTCTCCATATTTTTCTCCAACAATTGTTGTTTCCTGTCTTGTTAATTATAGCCATTCTGACAGGAGTGAGGTGATATCTCATTGTAGTTTTGATTTGCATTTCCCTGATAGTTAATGATGTTGAACATCTTTTCATGTGCCTGTTGGCCATCTGTATATCTTCTTTGGAGAAATGTCTGTTCAGATCTTCTGCCCATTTTTTAATTGGGTTGTTAGTTTTTTTGGTGTTGAGATGTATGCGTTCTTTGTATATTTCGGATATTAACCCTTTATCAGATATATGGTTTGCATATATCTGCAGTCAGATCTGGTACTGGAAAATATGTTGCTAAGACCGATGTTGAAGAGCATACTGCCTATGTTTTCTCCTAGAAGTCATGGTTTCAGGTCTTACATTCAAGTCTTTAACCCATTTTGAGTTAATTTTTGTGTATGGTGTAAGATAATGGTCTACTTTCATTTTTTTGAGTGTGGCTGTCCAGTTTTCCCAACATCATTTATTGAAAATACTTTCCTTTCTCCATTGTATGTTCTTGGCTCCCTTGTCGAAAATTAGCTGTCCATAGATATGTGAGTAAAAAAATTTTTTGTATCACAAGAAACAGTTTCCTTTTGCTGTTGAATTATCTTGATTCCTTAGGATTGTCAGTTTATAATCTTTAAGCATATTTTCATTGAGAGAAGCTATTAAGGAAATAAAAATTCAATTATCCTAAAAAGTTTTATTGCTGCTTTGATTATAATAGTCTCTAGGACAATACCACTTCTTTTCATTTTCACATCTGTCTAGATGTAAAGAACACTCAGAGACTGCAGATGTTTGTCTCAAGGAATAGTGGGCTAGTCCAAAGATTAGTTAGATTGCCTTAGATGTCAGATTATCTCTTCCCACACACACAAAAAAATAGTACTTGGATGGTATACTGTTCTCTCCATCAAGCTGCATACGTTCATATGTTCTAAAATTGTTCACTTATATTTTAAAAGCCTATGTAAAATAGCCTTTATTACAATTATGCTATATGATTAATGATTTGAAACTGCCATAATTAAAAATATTTTACTCCAAGAATGAGTGTAAAGTAAGCATTTAGCTATATATAAGTGTATGAAATCAACACATTGCACACCTTTAACCCACACAATGTTATATGTTAATTTTATCTTAATAAAGCTGGAGGAAAAAAAGAAAACAAAAACCACTGCACTGTATATTTAAAAATGGTAAAGATGGTACATTTTATGTTATGGTATTTTACCACAATTTTTAAAAAGTGAAAATTAAAAAAGAAAGCACATAAATTCCAGTCTTGGACCTCAGAGAGACCTAACCTAAAAAAACTATGTTATTTTGCAACAAACGTAAATCACTGGAAAACTTTTTCTTAGTTATGAAATTTACTGTTGCCTAAGCAAAAGGTCAACTGCAACTTAGTTAAGGAGAAAAATAAGAATGAGAAGTGTATTTTTTAAGGCTAAAAATGTTTTTTAATAATTACTGTTAAAAGTTATTTTATCTTGATTATATAGCTTCTAGAAACGTGAAAATTTGTATTTATGTTTACAATCTTATTGGACCAACGTGTCACAAAGAAGCATAGAATTTATAAATGTAGTATTTATTTCTTATATTCTAAAAGCTGCTAACTGATTTTTTTCAAGTAAATTTGAAAATAATCTTATAATTCTTTATGATTTAAAAGAAAGCTGCTACAATCTATTTCAAAATATTTGTCAGTAGGTAATCTTAAATATTTCTTCTTAGGATATTCTCATAATGAATATTATTATCTAATATTTTATTGCATTAATTTACCGCAATAGAATATTGGGTAAGCACTAGTTTGACAGAAAAAAACTGTAAATTGAGTCTTAGGTACCTAAAGAATAAACTTTGTAAGTCACAAACAGACTTTTATAATAACTCTCCTCTTTTCACTTTTTGAGACTGAAAGACTTCTTGGTGGAGGATGGATCTTTTTATGCAGGGATCAAATGTACATTAATTGTTATTTTCGTGGGGAAAAATAGAGTGGGCTTTGTTAAAGTGGATTTCTAATAATGTCATGTAGCATACAGAAGAAAAAAGTGAACTACTGGGGGAAAAAATGTTCTAACTAAGCATATTAGACCACTTATTTTTTAACCAAATCTTCAGAGAATGCTGCTATGGCTCAGTTTGCAAGCTGGGAAACCTGAATTCCTAAGAAATTGTGAAATCACCTCAATATTTTCCCAGTTAATGTCTTCTAATACTTTAGTAATGTTAATAATGAAAGCCAGATAAAAGAAAATCTGGGCCTTAGTTCAAGAATACAAATAAAAAGCTGTGCTAGATAAATTAGTTTCGAAGCAGTTTCCTCTCATCCCATCTTCATTTATGATTGGATATGATAATTACTGGAACATTTGATCAGTTTTAGAAAAGAAATAGCTCATCTAAAATGTAGATTAGCCACTCTAAATCTATGGGATGGTACATGTTAAAATGCTTAGTTTTGCTTATAAAAAAATATTTTGGTGATGTCAGGCTGTTTAACCCAGAATTTCCTGAGCATTCTGACTCTACCCCTTAAACTGATAATTGAAACTCATTGTTCCCCACTGTATTAGCCATTCTGACCCTGACGAAAAGTCTTCAACTTGGATACAGATCCTAAATTTCTTATGTCAATTCTTGGTGCAGTTTCTCTGTCTTTGCAATTATCTGAGGGTAGATTTATAATCTCCTGTTCTTGCTTTCACTAATCCATTAATTTATGGTCCATCAGTCACATACTACTTCCTTGGTATGTCTCAGTCTTTAGTCATTAAAGCCTCAAGAGCCTAATATTTTATTTATTTGTTTAGTTCACCTGCTAACAAAAGATTATTATATGCTAACACTCACCAAAATGGGAAATTAAAACATTTGGTGGGGGTTGGGAGAACAGAGAGAGTGAAAGAGAGGGAGAAAGGGAGAGAGGAAAGAGGGAAGGAAGGGGTAGAGAGAGGAAGAGGGGGTTGGAGGCAAGAAAGACAGAAGATAATAAGTGTTTACTCACAAAAGATAGCAAAAATCTTGGATTCTTTTTTACTACTTTTTTTTTTTTTTTAATACTCCAGAGGATCATTTGTAAACATCACATATCTCTCCTCAGCAACAGTCTCCAGTTGGGCATCAACCCACCATGTAATTCTGTTCCCAAAGGTCTTGCTCTCACTACCCTTTCTTGGTAGAAATATCTTGGGACAGAAATTTAACCATGATCTTCTTAGTACTCAAAACTATATGCCCAATTACTTACACTAAGGTTAATAGATCTGAAATAGATTCAGACTTCCAACAATCATGTATGAAAAGATAATTTGTACAAATTTCTATCCATTCCTGACTGTGGAGTCCAAGAAGTAAAAGTTTAGAATAGTGAAAGAAGGATTGTATTACAAGGATCAAATTAAATCTGACCAAACATTTATTCAAAGAAAGAGAGAAAAAAAAAAAAAAGAAAACAGGAGGAAAGGAAAAAATGGGGAGAATGGCTGAGATATCATATCCTGGGAAAATTATTGTACTTTATTCTTTGTCAATACCCCCCCCCTTTTTTTTTCACTTTAACCAGTGTTTATTAAAGTCCTGCCATAAGATACTGTGGAAGACAGACGATGAGTAAGACACAGTCACTCTCATTATGGTGCTTACGTCTAATTTGGTTATAAACAAAAACACGCAACTAACTTCAATAAAAGCCAGAATAAGTGCCTCAAGATAGGCAAGAAATTCTATAGATGTTCAGAATGAGGAAATATGCACAGAACAATGTGTCATTTGACCTTGGTTTTGAAAGTTAGTTACTATTTTAACAGTTGTCATGAATCGCATCAGTTTCTCCAATATCTATATAGATCAGAAATGCCACAGATACGAGTGAGCACAAGTTTTTCGTTTTTACTTTTTTACGTTTTTACTTTTTACATTTCTAAGCAGGGCTGTCCTATCCACTCTCCTTCAAATACACCAAGCTGAGAAAAGCAAATATTTATTAAACTCATCTCCACTAATATTATGTCATCGGTATATATTGGAAATAATAGAGCCCATCCCGAAGGTCCTTAAGCATTGCTAAAGTGTTCTTTTAACTGAAGTTTGTTGAATTACTTTTTAAAGTTCTCTAATGCTTTGGGGGTCTACCATTTCCCCAGTCTCCACCTCAGGAGCTCATCTCCTCTATATGAGTAAATGACACAGTCATATAAGTTAAATTTTAATCTGTTAGTGCTTCTTGGAAAACAACCAAAAATGACAGTAACTTGCTCCTACAACACTCATTATTTTTTGTTCTCTTTTGTCAAAAGAAATTCTGAAATTATAAATAACATTTTATTTACATATTTATTTACTACTTT